AGCAGCTTGTCTGAGCAGAAAAAGATTGGAGACTTTTGTAATTATGATCTGGGCTTTTCCCCTTGTCCTCCCTAAAGCTAATGGCCTGTGGAACAACACTGCTGCTCTCTAGAGCAGGAAGGAGCCATGGACAGCAGAGACAAATCAGATGGAACAAAACCTGTATTCAGAAAACCTCTAGTCCAGGGAAAGGCTGTATTCCAACTTGCAAGTTTGTCCAATGGAGATTCTGACAAAAATTAACAGTCTAATTTTGCAAACCATACCTTTCCCAGTGCAATCAATTACTAATTGTCAGAGGTTCCCAAAGAGCTGAAACCCAGCATATATTACTGAGTAGCCCAGGGAAGCACTGCTGTTGCAGCAGCATTGACTGCACCAAGCTGCTGAACTCTTTGAATGGGTAGCATGAGCTTTGGCCACAAGGAGGGAGAGATTCTCAGCAATGTCAGCACAGCTCACTTTAACCAACTAACTCTACGGAAGGATAGGGAAAAGAACTGTATTCTGATCCACACTCCTGGCCCAGCCTTGATGTTCTCCCCCTTCACCTGTCTTTACTTTCCTCATTTGAAAAAATGTTACAACTGTTCTTTTTATTTCAGGAAAAGCAGAAAGGAAAGTCTCAGCTCATAGTACAAACCCTATGATGTATCTTACATTCACATGCACTGACACATGCATTAGTACAGTCTGCCCCTCTTTCTCCTGTTTAGGTTGATAGCAACACAAATCACAACCAGCATGGTTTAAGCAGCTTGCTGTTTGCAACAACAAAGCAGGCACAGTACCACCCAAGGCAAGTCACTGCCAAGACCGGGGTGATAGCAAGAACCTTTTATTTAAGGCTGGAAGTTAAAAACATTTAAACCTTTCCTTTCCAAAAGTCTATCCACAGAATATCAGCAGTGACTGTGAATGGAATTATCCACATTTCCCCAAGGGTAGCACGTAAAAGGGCTTTTTCCTGCTGCACTTTTGTGCTTTTGTTTTGCTGCTCATGTCAAGGACACGACATGGGAAAGGGAGGAGTAGACAGGATATGCTATATGAACACTGTTATTACTTTAACTTCGTATTTTCCAATGGGAAACTATGTCAGGGAGGGGAAGAGTCTCATAGGAAGCTTTCCACACTCTAAGTCACAGGCTGGCCCCAAGCACCTCGCAGACATGTTCCCATGATTACGTCCTATTTCATGACTGCCTTTAGTTGCTGGCTTATTTGGTTTCTCTTCTTTTAAAAGCTTCCTCTCCACCACTTCATGAGTAAATGTTATTTCTGTTTTGTTCTAACATCAGACAAATTCCTTAGGACAACAGCTGATTCCAGTCAAACCATTTCAAGGCATGAATTTACCATTATAAACAAAGACAAACGTAAGTAAATCCAAAGTAAACTATAAAACTAAAAGCACATTTGCATTGTTTACTATACTTACCATATACAAAGTATAGCAAGCAAAGCCACAAAAATGAGTCATTTATTTCCACTTCTCATTGCACAAGTTCAAGCCAAGAGGGTACTAAAACTAAAATATTGGTTACTCATGATTTTCAGGAAGATGCTAACATTGATGCAATGTTGCCAAAGTGCATTGCTTTTGCCATAGCCAGCATTCAGAAGAAATTCTGTAGCAGAAAGAGCTACAGGGAGCTTTTTGTTATCCTTGTGTTGCTTTGAAACAAAATTATTTATCTATTAATGCCATATTTTGAAACCAAGATAAACTTATTTTCTAATTTCCAGGAAATTAGAACAGAAAAATGCATTTTCCAGTATTTTTCTTTCTAATATACACCAGTAAAAGACCATACTTCCACTGGGTCTCCATAGGTATTTTTGCATGGTTCTCACCCCTGTAGAGGCTACTGTCCTTGTTTTTCAAAACAACAAGTGATGTGAAAATTACATTTTTTATGTTCCTTCAGTCACATTTAAAGGTTGGGGACAGAAAGAATGCCGGTTGGAAAAAGCTTAAAATTATATGCAAATGGATGAAAAGAAAAAAGTCTCAAGGGCTAGTACAGAGTATCAGAGAACCTTCCAGAGTGTATGTGTTGGCGTACAATCATGCACTGTTTCCAGGATGGAGTCCTAAATATGTACAGCGGTGGCAAGTGTCCTATCATAAAAACTGTTTTACAAGACAAAAAAATTTGGACTATTTTCCCTCTGAGGTTCACGTAGGTAGAATTCTCCATTGATATTTTAATAGGATCTTTACCTGGTTAAGAAAATTAAATCAGAAACAGAAAGGAAATAAATTATGAAGCTTGTTACAAGCTTCCATACTCTTACAGTCTCCACAGTCACACAGATTCATAAATTTATCTGCCTGTTCCCACATATCGAATTGACACTTCTGGTACTGCAGACACTAGTATGGTGGAAGAAGCAGAAACATGCACCTGAAAATCTGCTACTTCTGAGAGAAGTTACTAGCTCTGTGAAACACTTTTTACTTTTATTGGTTGGCTGATTTCTTAATCCCAAAATTTTTCATTTGAGTTTATGATAATTTCCTTTGAGAAGGAAGCATCTACCACTTTCAAATCCCTACAAATATCTATATAGTTTTTATATTAACTACCTCAGCTTTGCTCCTCCTCCCTTCAAGGTATACACTTTAAAGTAATCCTATCTAGTTACTTCACCTGAAATAGGCACTACATCTCCTCCTGTATTCTTGCAAAGATGTGGGTTTTCTTCTAGCTGAAGGCAGCACAGGCTGTTTTGCCATAGATCACTATATAAACTCTATTTCATAATCTGTAAGTGCCATAAAAACAGAAAGCCTATTTAATGATGTAGTACATTTGATGTCATGGGTGCTTTAGAGTGTTACTGATAAGCAGCTTGATAACAGACTAGCAGTTGAGATGTCTGTGGTCCAAAGGACTAAGAGCCTTATTTGTAGCACTGTACCATGAGGACATGCAGAACAGAAAGTGTCCAAGTAACTCAGTGCAAGCTGAACACATGGTGCTGCTAAGGACTCACATCTGATAGACTGCTTAAATTTTAGATTAAAAAAATCAAACTAGCAAATAGAAAATCGATTGGATCTTCAAAACAGCATGCAGCAGGAAGCACAAGACTCAAGTAATTAATCAGAAGGGAACTGGTATTTTGTGGTTTGCCTCTTCACATCAGTGTGGAACACACAATACCTGACAGCTTCCAGACTGCTGACACACCTGAGCAACAAATCCAGAGACAGAGTTACAAGCACAAGCAGGGCATGGTGCAGAGGCAGAAATTTTCACAGTCTTTCTGCACAGCTCTCACTTCAGCAGCCTCGCTGTTTACTGTGATACCAAGCCGTTACACCTACCCTCCCATCAGATCATCTGAAACTCACCTTTCCAATGACAGGCATTTTTATGTAAGCAAGTGCTCTCCACACCTAGCCTTTCCTAAGGGAACTATTTTAGCCTTTAAATGCACTTTACATGGGACCTATGCCCTACCCTCCACACTGTGGCTGCAACACTCTATCTCCAGATGCTCTGAAGCCTAGACATCATACTCCTCACTATCCTCCCTTAAGCACTAGCCGGGAATGAAATCAATTACTTTCAGCATTTTAATAAACGAAGCTAGCTGGTTTTATTTCGCAATTTAAAACATTTGATAAAAACAACTATTTTGCTGCCCAAAAGGTCAGAGTGAGGTATCAGTTACACAACTACCATTATAACTGCAGCTACCACAACTTAGCAGTGCACTCTAGTTTATAGAAAACACCTGACCTATTTTAAACTAAAACAGAACTGATTACTGTCAGAGGATGTACTTTGCTCCACATTTTACCTGCTCATACCCAGGTCTGCAATACACACATATTTATACTTGGACATTCCCTCAAATTTGAATGGCTTACTCTAGCCTTCTAAAGAACTGGCAGATCATTTGAGGACCTTGCAGCCATTGAAACCTCAGACTGTAACCCTCTCTGATCCTTAAGACCATATGCTCTTACCACACACAAATTTTTAAATACTCTTGCTAAGAAATTTAAATACCATAACAAAACATGCCTTTGACTCTTCGTTTCTACCATTTAAAAGAATTTTAGATGTTGGAAAGAGAAAACAGGCAAATGTCAAGGGAAAAAAGCCTCAAGCAGATATTAAACACTACCTGGAACCAAATTCTATAAACAAAAGCAAATGTTAAGCTTTGAGACTCTGTCCTCAAGTAAGACTTAGTGATGGCACATAGGCCTCATCACTGTTGTTCAAAACTCACCTAGCCTTCTGACTGTATGAAACAGTATGTTCCAGGCTTCCTCCTGAAAAGTGTTAACAGGAGCAGCATTCCCACTCCAAAAGCTCAAGGATATGAAGCATGATTTGAGCAACCGAGTCTTATACATTATGTAAGCTCTGTTTACGCTACATTATTGTAATGTATTCATTAAAATTAATTTCTACAAAACCGCATTCATCTCTGTTCTTATACTTAATTAGAACAACAGTGAACAGAAAAAAATGCTGCATATTTAGGATGCATACTTGAAGTAAACTTATTTCTTTTATATAAGGTTTGGTAAGTTTAACTTAACAGCACTTCCAAAATCTTACGGCTATCCAGACAAAACAATATGTGCATTTAGCTAACATGTTTTAATATGTGACATTACTCAAATGTCATAGATACTTAATGGCAAATGTGCACAAAGCCTCCAGCCATAACATTACACAAGAATTCTCCACAACTGATGTACATGAATTCTAAATTTTCTTACACTTAAAGAGGCTGGCTGAATTCTTCTTGACCTTTTTTAACTGAAGTGGAGGACACTTTTTCTCTTCTGGTCTTAGTAAATCTTTGACAGGACAAAAATCTACTGTAGTCTGTTTATGCAAACTAGCATAACAAATCCCTTTTGCTATCTGCATACTTAAATCCAATCCTAAGAAACTTAAGTCACTTCTTTTCACTCAAATGGCATTAACACTAACAAAAAATACTTAGTTAGAACATTGCCTTACCGTGTAAATGCCAATTCTACAAACAGCAAATGAGAGCTGGATACATTCAGACATAGTCTAAAGGAATTAAAATAAAGACATTATCAAGAATGCTATTTATTAAGAACTACTTTTCTTCCCATCCCTCTCCCCTGAAAGAAAGACCTTCTTCAAGGCTGTACTAAACAACCTGAGAAAAATGACATATAAATTCAGGTTATACAGATACATACTACCTTCTATACAGAAGCAGCCAAATGTAAAGGTGTCAACACCTTCACACTTACTAGTTTAGTATTTCATTAGAGGTTGCAAATTACCTCATGATCCCCAAAATTCCTGTACACATTAATGATTTGCATGTAAGCTTTCAGTCTCATTTATTTTTATCTACTCTGATTTAAAAACACCCTGCAAGACTAGTTTTAATGGAGTGCTTTTTGGCCTCTTAGTGTAAAGAGCCAAAACTGGAGAATAAAGAGCTTCTGTGTTTATATGTTACAGTTTTTCTCTCTCTTTACCATCACTGAAACTGTCTTCCTCTATATACCAGAATAATGCATATAATTTAATGTTTGCACATTTCTGGTGAATTGTTATTTCTTTAGCTTTCTGATACTTTCATCTGCAAAGTAGAACATAAAAATAGAACATTTGATTTAATCTGTTCTTATGGTTGGGAATAATCATATTAAAAGTTTTTACCCTCAACTTGCTCAACTTCCAATCTGCTGTGATGCCACAATTCTATGTCTTCTGCAGTCACCCAGAGAGGCTGAGGATGGACTACGAATTTCTGATGAAACAGATGAAAAACACCTTCTTTAATTAGCACAACAAAGCCAGGAAATAAATGCAGCTCTCCAACACCAAAATAAAAACTATTGTATGTTTGCCATATTTCCTATACAACTAGGTAAAATAAACTAAGCTTACAATGATTTATTCAGAAGAGTAATTGAGGAATTACTTTAAATAAGGTATTCGAAAGACAAATCGCTTTCAAGTGGAACATTTTTATTACGTATTTAACAAGTTCACACATTACCTAAGATAAAGTGCTGGATGATACAGACTTCAAACATACCTACCAGTCAAAACATCTTTTCAGCATCTGCTTTCTAACTTCTCCCTCCATCCAAAAAAAAATAAAACCTTTCAGTTGAAATACCCATTCAATTAAAATTTGGATTAAAAAAAAATCAAAACAACATATCTTATTAATTATAAGTAATGAAAAAATACATGTAGCAACATTTTTTTTTGCTGTTAACTGTTCCATCTAAATTTTAAACAAAAAGTACTGAACTGTCAAAAAGTTCACTGAACTGTCTGAAAGTAAAAAGCACAGCATTAAAACCTGAAAGCAAACTTCAACAGCACAGTTGATTTTCTTTTCTTACGGGAAGTAATCTAGCATGCTACTAATGACAAGGAAATGCTGATTTAAAACACCATTTCAGTTTAAGGAGATTTTTTTTCCAGCTTTAAGACCAAACATCTAAGTCTATCTCTTGTGCTCTAAGCTTCTCCCAGAAAGAAACAAGTCACAGAGAAATAGGAACTGGCTTCAAGAAATCCTACAGTTACACAAAGTGGTGGGGCGGGGTCATAAACCATACCCCTCCTGACAGTACTTGCAGACCTTGTTCCAAAGGTTCCAGGGATGGATGACTTCCCCAAGCAATTTAGTCCAGTGCTTCATTACCCTTTCTACTAGAAAGTTTCCTAATGTTTAACCTTGGTCTGTGGAAATTTAAGCCCATACTTAAACTCCATGTGATACATTGAATGATTTGCATTTTCAGTATCCTGGCGGAATCTATGTTGCTGGCAGACAAACTTTATATACAAAGTAAATGATTATTTCAGCTTGCAAGAGAAGTAAACATGCAGCAGCAGCAAACTATTAATAGCTTCTTCATGTATACCATTTGCTGCTTTTATTCTAGACAAGCACAGCATCATAAATTGTTTTCTTTTTTTAATTTTTATTCAGTACTTCCAGGCTGTACATTAGTGGGAGAATTAATCTGCAGTTCAAAGTCTCCAGCAAACCCCTGTACATCCTTGCTTCAGTAAAATAAAACAACCTACGTCCCCTGTTACCTTACTCATCTGTTGCTGGGTTTGCTACTGTTAACATTGTGAAACCACAGGCTATTATTATAAGGCATGAATTCTGTCACATACAGTACCGATGAATGCTTCCCTTAAGCATTTCCCAGAGAAATACTAAGATAATCCCTTCTTTAAGCCTCCAAGATAATGCTCATAAACTACATTCTATTGTGGTAAAAAAGGTCATTAAACCCAATGCTACTATCAATATCTATTATATGAACTTATCCTTCCTTCTGAAAATTTGCATTTCCTCCCCAGTAATATTTCAGTTAAATCTTTGGAAAAGGGACAGGAATTTACTTAAATTATTTGAAGTTTAATGATACTATCCTTCAGACTATCACTCTGACCACAGAGTTAAGATATAGTTGATAATCTGTTGCTGCAATGGGGAGTTTATTCTTGATACTTGTAATCTTTCATTACTTTGATTGTGCAATTCACTTGGGACCATACAATTGGGCAACAAAACAATTGTTGAAAAATTTGCATGTAATTTACTTACAGTTTATTGTTGCTTTCTGAAAGGATTTTACACGGTAAGCATGAAAATAAAAGAAAAAAAATGTAAAAACATACCTACAAATACTATGAAGGAGATATCTTGTTTGACACAATTCTACAGAGACTAATTCTTCACAGAAGTGACTTCACATGTCTAAAGTGAAAAACGGAGTCATCAGACCAAATATGTCAAACAATATATGCATGCATCACTGCCAAAAAGCACCCTTCTGCCTAGGCAAAGGGTCATCTCACAAACATTAAATAATATCTCCCACTGGAAAGCAAACTCACCACTAAGTCTCCCATTCACCCAAGACTTTGTTATCTTAATCATACCTTGTAAAAATGTGGCTCTTTATGACATAGAAAGATGTCTGCTGTGCAGCTGTGCAACATTCAATTCACAAAAAGCATCTGTGCTATTTTTTCAAGTATTCAGCTATCAGTACAAATATCAGTAAAAAACAATTTCAGTATCTGATGTTTAAAAAAAAGTCTCATTCAGCTCTGACACAGGCACACAACACACAAAACTATTGTTTTAAGTAATATCTATTTCGTCAGCAAATACAAGATTAAATCCCTACTCATAATATTTACAAGAGACCAGATTTTGAAAAGATTAATTAGAGCACGTTCTGCAACTGCTGACTTCAGAGCAAACATCAAATTGAAAGCACTAGCCTCAAGAACCTTGGTGGGCAAAAGGGGACAGTGATCCTAATCAAGCTCTCAGAAAAGAGCCGAACGGCTCACCACCTGGCGGAACTGCAGGAGCCAGTCAACTCTGCCACCCAGCAGAAATACTCACCTCGACATCAACTCGCTGTGACAATCCTAAATAAACCAGAGCACTGAATATAGCTCCAAGACCACAAAAACAGAAAGCAACACAAGAAAAGGAAGACGTTAGAAGGTTTTTTCTGGTGATGTGTTTTTTTAATACACCTAAGATCAAGGTACACTTCTGCTCATTTATAATGAAGTGATACAACCCAGTAATCCCTTTGAACTGCTGGAACTTCCAGGCAAAAGATTTTTCCACCTCTCTTCTTATCTGCGTCTTTTTTAGTGTATAAAATAGCAAAAAAATAGCAATACAAGCATATAAAATACGCAGGTTTTAAGGTACCTTTTTGTATGGAGCCTGAAACAAATTCTCAGTGCTTATATGTTTTAAGGAACATATGGGTACCCAAAACCACACACAACAACACTACAGTAAAGGTAGCAGGAACTTTGACCAGAACTGCTGTTTACTAACCTTGTGTACTGAACTCCAACTAGTAACTCCAAGGCTCTCCTTTCTGCACAAGATGTCACAGCCCTCTGGCACATTCCATTAATAACATTTCTAATTTAAACTCCCTGAATTCCTTTTTAATACTGTTCTCAGGAATAAAAGATAGAGAAAATATTTTCATATTCTCCTTTAATGCTAAATAATTTGATTTCTATATTACCAATCTTCTTGTACATATTCATTAGAAAAATAAATCTTAATTTGGAGACTAGAAGAAACCTGATGTTGATGAAAAAGCAATGATATGTGAACAGGACACAGGACTAGATCCAAGAACTCTCTTGTCATCATAAAAAGTAATCAAGTGGATGCACCAGAGAACAATGCTCTCCTCTCTTTTAGGCAATATTCTCAGCAGAACAGTTTTCCATGACTGTTTCCAGGACTGCAGTGGCTCAGGCAGTGAAAGATGCATATTAGCCAGCAGAAAATTAATATCTGCAAGAACAGCATAGACATTTCTCAAGAATTCTGGACCTTTTCTCCAATCTTGCTGAAACCTGAAATTATGCAAGTTTCAGACAAGAAGAAAGCACTGAGAAAAGAAATCACTCGTCGTAGAGTGCATCATCTCTCTACACAGGCTATCTATACAGTTTCAGGTTCACTCAGTGTTGTGGGACTTGCATACAAAGTCATAAATTTATTAAAACACAGATACTGGAAAGCCAATAGCTTTTCCTCATACATCAAGCAGATGGAATCCACTAGGTACGTGCCCCTGGAGCAGATTAAGTATCTTCATAAATACCACTGAATTAAAAAGTCTCACTTCCTGTTCAGTCAATGTAATTCTGATTACACTGGAGAGCACTCCTGGACACCACTCAGACTATCTCAGTTCTCTAAATGCAGTTTCCTGTTCCAGAACTGATTCTAGCTGTTCCTTCAGTGAGGAATAATGGATGTCTTTAGTTCACAGCAAAGCATCAGGATATCAAGGGTCCATACCTCATGGAGCTGTCCTTATGTTCCAGTATTCACAACTTCAGGATTTCCTACCATCACACCTGAAACATCATGTTTCATACCCATCCACAATGGACCTCTCCTTGCTCAAATCCCTGGTCTATTAATTTTGACCTCCCTAACATTCCTGCACAAGTGAGAATTCAACTACACTCACATGCAAACACAGTTCCTGGATTATAACTGTCAGTGAGTTCTTCTATAGGGAAAAAATTGCTCATTGCCTAGTTACCCTCTCTTTCTGATTTCAAAGACATCTAGAATATTGCCTGCTCATACAAGTCAGCTGTCTCTTCTTCAGACTGAAGGGCTATAAGTACTTATCCCTGCTTGTATGGAAGCAATTGCTTTTCTTCAATTACCACATCATCCTTCTCTGTATTTTCTTTGGCTTTTTGATACTCCTCTTCAGATGATGCAACCATAAATGTAGCATGTAAGACAAGAGCAAACCTTACATTTAATCAGTGTAAAAATGAGATTGTTCACTCTTTTTCCTTCTTAATACTCTAAATTTGTTGACAGATGTCTGCGTTGAGATGACATTTTAAACAAGGATCCTCATTCCCTTTCCTGAGCACTGATGATATTTTAGGGCCTATCCATGCATCTGTACTGCCATGTGACTTCATCTATAAATATATGCAACTTTGCATGTATCAACACTGAATTTCATCTGCCATTTTATTAGGAATATCAAAAGAGATACTATGATTTTTTCCTGGGTTCAATATGCATTCTTAATATTTGTCTCTGCATCAGCACATCCAAAGCATATGCAGTTTATACAACTAAACACAAACATGAAATTCCCTCGTAATCCCTGCATTCACTTCTCCCTCTTATTCACTGCCAGAGCATTGTGCACTCAATGCTCATTTGTATTTCTGATGAAATTTGTATTACAGATTAAAAAATTACTCATTTTTAACTGCTTTTAAGTTTTTCACCTCTATTAGAATCAAAATCAAGTAAAGGAAGAGTAGGGAATAGTTGTTGTAAAAGCTAATAAAATGTGGAAAACAGATGTTTCTTCCATAAAAAAGCTCCAAGTCATAACAAAAAAAGAAATCTGCAAACTTACTTCCCCCATATCAACAGTTCCTAGTGGATCTTGGAAACCATCTTGCTTACTCAGACTCTCCAAAGCCAAAAGCTAATGTGGGTCCTGTGAACAAATTTTTCTTCTGTTGCCCCACCAAAACATACAGCAGAGAATCAAAGATTCACGCTCTTCCTACTGTTTGTTCTTATAAGCAACAAAGCTCTAGGGCAGGACTGTATCTAGCATAAAAGCACGCCAGCTACATTTCCTGCTTTGTGTCTCTTCCTCAGATAGAAGGAACTTACTTACACACTTGTTGGCAATTAATGTAGTTACCTTACCAGGTTGCCAGAGAGAAAAAAAAAAAAAATCTGTATGCTGAAGAGCTCTGGCATGAGATGAACCATCTTTTATTAGATTGCAAATACCCTACTTATGTCCACAAGGACTTTTATATAGTCACAGTCAAGACAGTTCGCACTTCAGAAAGTTATGCTGCACACAGAGTGAAAAACAGCAAAACCAACATACTGCAGAGTAGTATGAACCAAAGAAGCACAAGATTTTAAATACTGTTGTAGATTTTAATTCTTTTTTTTTTTTTTTTTTTTTTTGTAGGGCTTTGCAGCTTTTTGGGCCCACATTTGTGGTTTTAAACTTAAAATGCTTATTTTACTAATGGAGAGCTAATATCCTCACACAATCACAAAACTTCAGAACTCAGTTTAACAGAATAAACATTGACAAGCTGGCAGTACTAAAAAACAAGACCTGATGATACTGACAATAAGCCAAAAATGTTAATCAGCATGTGGTATTAGAAGGAATATTTTGTCCTTACTAAACGCAGATATTCTCACTTATTAAAAGATTGCATTTCTAACCTTTTGTGAAATTCATCATCATGTTGCCTCAAGCTTGGATGTCTGACTGAAGAATTCAGGAGCAGCACACTGCAGAGCAACATGGTGTGGTAGAGCATAGCAAGAGTTGGCACTGAAGCTCAAGTATTCTTACTACATACTTCAGACACTAATTCTGATCTAGGCCTGTGGTGTAAAAACCCATTAGTGAAGTAACTCTTTCCATCTGGTTTCATTTGAAAAATATTGAGTTCATGCCATCTGTGATCACTCTGCAATGCAAACCTATGGCTATAAGCATTACCTTCTTCAATTAAAAGATTCACATCTGATCTGAAGTCTAATACAGTGGTGTGCACCGTTACAGCTGTTTTCTTTCCTGCATTCAGCTATATATTTATTTTGAAACAACTGTCAGACCCCTCATCTTTATGTCTAATCAACTTCCCCAACTGAAGGGAGGATAATAAAATAAAAATCCTTGTGATCTACAGACAGTGTAAATTTTCAAGGCTGTTATAGCTGATAGACCAGTCAACACAGAGCCCAAATAATCCTTATTGTTACATGACAAAAGACAGAATTCACATGAGATGGGTGTTAAGCAAACCATAAGAGGACATGGCCCTATGTACAGACCGTGGCTGCTCACAATGCAGGCAATGTGTCTCAGAAGAAAAATACAGAGTTGCTTGTATGGACCTTTACCCACTCTTCCTTATTCAAAGGACAGCATCTAAGGGTTTACAAAGTTTCAGTGAAGTAAAATTCTTACCTTCAAACATAAGCCTCTGTAACACTTTTGTGATATAAGAAAAAATGTTTCCTATGGCATGTAGATCCCAAACAATGGAACTAGCAACAGCAAGGGAAAGACAAGATCTGAAGTATACCAGAATCACTAAGCAATCTTGATCAATCCCATATTGCCAACATGGCAACATGAATCTAACCTAATTAAATTAAAGAGTT